AGGCAATGAACACAAGTTGCAGCCAGTGAAGTTTCAAATAGATATCAGGAAGAAGTGTTTCACTATGAGGGGCTTTGGATCAGGGGCCCAGAAAGCCTGTGGAATTTCCATCCTTGCAGATATTCAACACCTGACTAGAAACGGCCCTTGAACAAGCTGGTCTAACTTTAAGTTTAGGTTCACCTAAGCAGTGGGTTGGGCTAGATGGCCTCCAGAGATTCCTTCCAGAATTAATTATTCTGTGTATGAACACAAGTTCCGAGAGATTTTCCTGCTCACATGAATGAGGCTGTATGAGCATAAACAATAAAGAAGCACCAGAACTTAAATGCATTTCTGTTACTCTCGCTCCCCATTCATCCTTGCCTCTCACACACAATACACATACAGTTTTAGCTTATGCTATAGTTTTGCCATCTGGGGGCCCTAATTTGGGTCTTTGCAAAGCTACTTGCTTTTGCAAAATAAACTAATTATTTTTGAGATCCCAACTTTTCTGTTAAGTTGGGTTGAACCTGGAAAACAGATTCAGAGTTACCAGAGAGAGCGAAGTGTTTTAATTGCCACTGCAATTGCTTAAGGCTCATTTTTTTAAAGATATCAAGCAGGAAAATAAATTGAGCAGGCTAAACAAGTGCACCCACATGACTAAATTCTGTTCTAGATGTTTTGCCAAATATTTTCATCAAATACTTGCATGTCTCATGTTCCATTTTATCTTATTCAAGAATCGTATCAAAAAAGTCCGCTGTAACTTCTTTTGGTAAAAGTCTTGGGAGCATGAACTAATGGCCAGCTGAACCCCTGCCTAATCTCTTGTAAGGTATTTGCTGGGTGAAGTCTTTCTGGCATTTTATCCAGGAACAGCAAGAATTGAAATATTCAGTGAAGTACACACGCAGTGAAATACATATACAGTACTTCAAGTTCTAGGTTTGTCAGTTAGCCACAGAATTTGTTTTTCCACCTCAGTAGAATATTTCTGTCTTCTTTTACTTCATTTCCAGAAGAAACGTTCAAATAAAGCTATATCGCACTGTAAGCATTCTTTTCAATAAACAAAAACTGGTTTTAGACAAGGAAAAATTTAGTACCCATTGAACTTACCCTCCAGAGGGGAATCCATTTCACCCCTTTACTGAAGTAACATGACCTTTTGGGGAAAAGCAAAACTTGATTGTATAGCTAACAAGAAGGGTTACAAATATTACAAATACTTCAATTTTTCCCTAACTCTTAGCTCTCATCACTTAAAATACATTGTATTTTTGCTTTTTATTCCCATAATTATAAGCATCTCCTTGAGGGGGGAGGGATGTCTGTTCATCAGGAGCCTTCCAAGCAAGATAATTTCTAAGAGACTTGTTAAACTGCTTATTCATAAATTCTGATTGCCTGCTAATCCTAATTAAATGCTAAAGGTGGAATTATTGTTCATCTGTCATCCCTCCCCCAGTTGGGTTGATTACAATGCAATTTCAGAACTCCAGCTCTGAGCTTGTTTGCCTACAAAGCTATAGCTGTTCCAGCTTAACAGAAACTCATGAAGATACAGCATAAGCTAGCAGAAGTAGCTTTTCTGCAAGCAAAGTTACATGGCAAAGTTTAAGAGTCATGAAAAGTTACTTCTAAAATTATGATTTCACTATTGTATTTTCAGCTGTGCAGCTTCGGGAATCATTTCCATGAACCTCATGTTTGTTTGTCTCATCTTTCTTTTAATTCTTTGAAAATTGTTACAGCTGATTGATCTTTTCCACTAAGATGATAGAGACCCAATATAAAACCATGCAACTGTTTGCACCCCTTCCTATGATGTCATGAATTATATTAGAGACCCTATAAAGAACTTGAATTAAGTCATCAGCCCTTGTGCTTGTCTGCTTGCTTACATACAGCATAGCTAAGTAAGTCTTCCTTCTCTCCTTCACTCTGAGAGTCAAGGCTCAGGCTTTAATTCTTTGTATGATAATTTGTTGGAGTGGGAGGAGGGTGTTATTTATTCCTTTTCTTTAATCTCTCACCAGAGAATTCAGTACATATCTGGTCGTTTTCACTGTCTTTCATCTAATCATCTCTGTTCAAGATAGCTCTGCATGTCCAAATAGCCTAGACAATTCTTTTGTGACTGCTGCTGATACAACTAAGCCAAAACTGACTTTGACTTTTTTTCCCCCTGCAGAAAGTGAGAGATCAGTATCATAAACTGGAACTAGTTCTTAATGAATATAAAAGGAAAGCAGTGACAGAAATACATTTCAGACCTGTTTCAACAGGAATGTATTGACCTTATCTGATTTACTTATACTTGTTGTCACCTATTTCTCTTTCTCACCACTGTCAGAGGAAAACAAGGACTGTTTTGGGTTTGTTTGGCAACAGATAGTGTGGGTTTTTTTTTTGCGGAGGGGGGGGGGGGGGAGTGGCAGGGGGGGGGGGGGGAGTGGCAGGGGGGGGGGGGGGAGTGGCAGGGGGGGGGGGGGGAGTGGCAGGGGGGGGGGGGGGAGTGGCAGGGGGGGGGGGGGGAGTGGCAGGGGGGGGGGGGGGGTGGGGAGTGGCAGGGAAGGAGGGGAGGCCCCATTTGTTCTATTTATTCCCTACTTTGTTTATAATCTAGGTTTAATTGTAATGACTCATTTATGTTTGGCAGCCTTTCGTGTATCATAATTCTGTTTATCACTGTAGAACATGGTATTGTTCTCAGTGAAACTTTTTAATCCCTTGCCCTGAGGTACAGGGAGTGTCTGCAGCTTTTGTTGAGGATGTCAGAAGCTTGCGGTTTTCTTTGTGATGGATTAGGAGAGCACATTTACCTAGTTCTCTATGGGCATAAAAAAATTATGCATTTATAGTGTTATTGCTTCTGTTGAGAATTTATTGCTGTTAGAACAGCTTGCTTAGAAGAAAGCAAAAAGCCTTGCTGTGCCAGAGCTTCACCCCTTATTATCTGTGGGTCACACACTCCAGGTTCAATGAATAACCTTGTCTAATTGCATCTGTATTTATTCTCTGCTTACAGTAGGCATCCTTATGCATTGCTTTGTTTCAAGGAATACTGAATGATTAATGGTGAATGATTACCATATGTTATTTAACGTTGTTGGTAGGTCAGATATATACAGGTTCAATAAAAAGTCTTCTATCTTTATGATAAAATCTTAGTAAACGTTACTATGCTTTTGTCAGAAGGGCATTTTCAAGTAAAAAACCTGTGCTGCATACTCGCAAAGCTTAATCTCTCGTATTAACTATGTCACATAGCATTTTAAAACCCATATCCCATTACACTAGTTCCTTCCAAACATGTAGTAATGACAGTGTATACCCTTTTATTAGGATAGCTCTGTGTCAAGCCTGAGCTGCTAGATGAAACACAGATAAGCAAATATGGTAAAAAGAATACAGTGGTGCTTTTTCTATGCAAGCTTTCCAACTGATAACAGAAAACAACAAATGTACCTTTTTAAGATTTCTAAAAAAGGGAGGGGAAAAATTAGATTTAGTATTTTCCGGAGAGGTTGTGCTGTTTCCACCCTTGGAGGTTTTCAAAACCTGCTTAGAAAAAGTCCTTGAGCAACCTGGTCTAACCTCATAGCTGACCCTGCTTGGAGCAGGAGGTTATACTAGAAATCTCTCAAGGTCCCTTTCAGCCTGAATTATTCTATGATTGTAATATATAACAAGAATGTTTCTAAACTTCAAACTTTCACTCTAAAGATAAGGTTTCAAAGAAACTGGAGAACCAGAACTTCATCTGCTCTTTGTCAGAATTGTTCTAATAGTCTCAGAGTAAACCGTATTATCTAAATTAAATCAAGAGTTTATGGATTAAAAGCTTTAAGAGAAATTCCTAAAATTTGTGGAATGAGAAGAGAGCGTTACCAAGGAAGTCTAGAAAAGATTCAGTTGTATCCTAAAGAGTATTACTGAATTTTGTACCCTTAGCACGAGAACGGTTTCTAAATCTGACCCTTCCCTGCTTGCCATAAAAAAATAGGATGGTGTCCTTCTGGAATGTTCTGCAGTTCACCTGAGTCTGTTGTTAGATTTTACCTTGTAGGTCTGTGAACATTCTTCAAGCAAGAGATTCTGCATGGTGCTAGTGAGAAAGGTCCATTTTCACAGGAACCTGTTCATTGCCCAGTCAGTTACACTGGCTTACTCACTGTAAAATTAAGCTGGATGTTTTACTAGATGTCATTTTAGCTTGGCCACAGCAGATTACTGTTGGAAACAGGCCACTGATGGTTAATGAAGATCATTGTGTATTCTAGCTGACCCTCTACTGCAAGGCAGAGCCTCTAACTTATAATTCCTTAAGAAAAGCCATTAGTATAGTCCTCAGGATTTTCTACTCTGCTGGTTTTTATTGTATTATATCCGAATCTAAGTCATTTTTCTGCATGTTCTCTTTTGTAATGTATTGTGTTGCTGCAGTGATGTTCTTTTCTTGTCAGATTGTTCATGAGCTCTGTATTTGTAGTTTGTTTTGAAACAAATGGGTTCTGCCTAGAAGCTTTTTCTTTCTTCACAGTTTGGTCCCTTCTCTGATTTCTAAACTACATGTGATTGTCTGTTTCTTAAAGTCACTCTTCCAAAAAGTGAGCTAATCCAAGAATACGCATAGCTCTGACATTAGAATATCAGAGCAGGAACTAGAGAAATGTTGTTATGGCTAGCAGTGGACATTTCACTGAGAGGTATGTTCTAAAATGCATCATTGGTTTAAGTTCTACAACCTCCACAAGAAAAAAAATATGCTTCTTTCCTAATCCATCAAGATAAAAAAAGCAGTTATTATTGACAGCAAAATATTCTTTGCTCACCTTAATTACAAAAATTCATATATCTGAACCCAGGTGATATGGATGTTCGGATTGATTGTAGAAAACAATTTTCACTTATCAAGGCATGGTATTTGTTCAAAAGAATAAATGTTAATTTATTGTTGTTTAAGCTTTTGTATTCATAGAAAATTACATTATGTAATTTATTTGCAGGTTTTTAATGCAAAAACAGCAGAGCTCTTGAGTCACCATCAAGTTGAGATACAGCAGAAATTCCCTAAAGAAGGGTATGAATTTTCTGTGGTTTTTTTGTTTGTGAACATTTTGGTAGAGCTTATGCATTTTTATCTATGAATGATCAAAACTGAAGTTGATCAATAATTATTAAGAACATAGAATCTGATATAAAAACTGTGTGGTAGGAGAAATGGCATAAAACAAACCCACATTGGGTGTCTGGTATATGCTCCGAGTTACGTAAACTAAAAATACTTAGTGTTTTACTCTGACCACTCATTAGGATCTTTAAAGTTTAAAGTTTAAATGAGACTTAAAGTCTTATTTAAAGTGGTAAAGATGGTAATTTTCACAATTTAATCATGGTCTTCGGCTTAGTCCATAGAAATTACTTAGTTTTTTCTCTGAGGTATTTTTTTGCCATTTGTTTGTTCTTAACTGAGTACCATTTGCAGCCAAAGCCCTCTGTATAGATAAAACTAAATAAAACAAAACAAAACAAAAGTCTTTGTTTTCTGCAGATAGTTTTGTTCTGAAAAATAAAGCTTACTGTTTTAAAAGTGTTTGAAATTCATTATACTTTTTCTAGATATATAAAACATACTTCATAGTTATGGTTGTGTTAAAATGCTCAGCTAGCTTTTCAAACTAGAATTTCTTTTTTTCCCCTAAATGTAATTTTTTGTCCATTAACTGGTATTTACTGTTTGTTAAAGATGGGTGGAACAAGATCCGAAGGAAATATTAAAGTCTGTCCATGAATGTGTGGAAAGGACCTGTGAGAAACTACAACAACTGAACATAGACATCACTAACATAAAAGGTACATAGTATATAACATAGTACTTAAGTGTATCTGGGGGCTTTAACATACTCATGGTTGAGCAAGTCCGATTCTCTAGTTTTTAAGTCAATAAATAGAAAGGTGGGAACGTGTGCTGGCCTCAAAGGAAATGTTAAATTGGAAATGAGAGCTTTTGTTTGGGAGGAATAATGAGAAAATACATCCTTCATGTATATTGGCAATGCAAAATCTACAAAGTAGACTTAACCTAATCTTGCAAAATCCCAGAGACAATTGATGAATGAAGAAATCTGAAATCTAAATTAGGATTTACTGGGAAAAACTAGTTTCCCAGTCAGTGTTGTTGTTGTCTCAATTTGTGGCAGAAAAAAGATTTAGAGCGTGTAGGTTAAACAGCTAAAGTTGAATGATGAGTTTTTTGAAGTACTATTTCTAGATTATAACATGAAAAAGTTGGAAGCTTTTTATTTCCCATTTACTTTCCTCTTCTCCTTACCTGTTCCTCCGTCCTCTCCACCTCTCCCTTCCCTCCCTCACCCCCCAAAAGGGGAAAACAAACCTTCTGAAAAGGATACTTCTTTCTATTTTGTCCTGAAGCCATTGGAGTCAGCAATCAGAGAGAAACAACAGTGGTTTGGGACAAGACAACTGGAGAACCTCTTTATAATGCTATTGGTAACTACTGATTTTCTGAATATAATAATATCATAAAATGAACGTGTTGTAGAAAAATGCTTTCCTAGTTTCCTGTGCAGATCTCATTGTGGCCTAGCCTACTAACTTATTTGATTTTTTTGATATCTATGTCATAAGCTGTGTATTTGTATACACCAGTGCAATTAAATAAAAAATTTACTCTGTTAAAATTATTACTTAATAGTTAATAAATTGTTTTAGGGGCTTTTAACAAAAATCAATATTCTTGTGGAGTTTTGTACATCCCTGGCATGTAATGAAGCTCTGACTTATGCGCAATCACTTCCTTTTAAGTGAAGAAGCTTACTAAATTTTCAGGATGCTTTTGATTTCACTTTAAAGGAAAAACGTGTTAAGGAGGTTTAATGAATACTTACTGATTTGTAATTTTATTTTTAACTTACCTTGGCTTTTCAGATTATGTCAGCTGAGAAATGGCAATTGTCTAGATTTGTTCTTTTAGGCCCTGTCAAGTGCCAGATTTAGTTTAGCATAATATCACTGAAAGAAACAGGACTCTTCTATATTCAAATATCTGTTGTTGTTGTTAATAACATGTTATCTTAAGCCCAGCTGTACCTTGATAACTCTGACATTGCACTTCAGTTCAAAGTTTTCATAGGAATAGTAAATAATCAACCTGCTGTTTGTTTTAACCTCTTAGTTTCATGACAGTCATCTGCTGTAAACAAAGTAGTGTTAGTTGTTTGCTTGTGCTCTGATAGAGAAAAGTATGTATCCTATTATGTGGGAAATCCTGTTTGATTTCTCAAATCATTTGTTCCTGTAAATCAAATGAGTTTATCAAACCATTTTTAATTTTTACAACAGTGCATTTAAAGTACAATGGTAATGCAATATTCTTTCAACTACATGAAAAGCTAAAAATAATTACTGACAATTTACTGGCAAGAGCTCTAGTTTTGTACAGCCTGTACATGTCACTTTTTGTGCATTAAATCAGTTGATCAGTTAATTTTATTCCTGTTTTTAGTGTGGCTTGACCTGAGAACCCAGTCAACAGTTGAACGGCTTCTTAAAAAAATTCCAGGAAACAACAAAGCCTATTTTAAGGTAAGAAATATTCCAGAACATTTAAGTAGTAGCTGAACTCTTATTGCTACAGTAAATAATGTTTTGGAGTTGTGTGCTTAAAATTTCCCCGCAAAAGTCAGTCAGTTGTAGCTTCTAGTCCTTCATTAGCTTGTCAAATAGTAAAAAAATATGCATAGTACTATACACCGATCTGAGACTGGAAAATGTTTATTTTCCTCAAAATAAGTAGTTAACACTTCTTACATATCTCACTAGAGAAATGTTGTCTCATTACATAGTATCATAACACTCACTAGAGTGGTCGTTAGTGAGACTTAATCACGTGCTACCTATCCAATGATAAGTAAACATCACACACAAAAATTAAGAGCAAGTAGAAAAAAACTGTTTGGAAAATAATTTATTGATGTAAAATATATGAACCTCTCTCATCTTATGCCTTAATATTAAAACTAATTGCAACAAATCTGAGGTCTGGGAAGATAGTTTATAAAGAGAAAATGATATATTTTTTTTTAATATGGGTGTATATATATAACAATTTGGAAAATAAATGATTGCAAAAAGATTTCATAATTCTTTGATTTATATTTTCCTCGATTGATTGTATAAATATTATATATTTTATATATTATATGTTTTCTTCTAGGCAGGAAATGGATGTCAAAGAACATATAAATTTATTTGACTTTTAAGTTCTCGTAGAATACAAATTCCATCTTTCGTGTGTCATGGTGCTCATTTTTGTTGTCATTACTTGCTGTTTAGTCATATGGAGATATCCTAGATAAGATGACTTCTGCAAACAACTATTTCCACTTAAATGGTCTTTGAACTGCATTTAGATCGGCTTTGATCTTTGTCCGTTAATGCACTGGTCATTTGTTTTTGATGTTTTCAGACTTGTGTATTGCATGCTTAGTACTTACTTAAATAACAAGTTTGTGTAATTTCTGAGTTTTGTGTCTTTGTTTTTTCACTTACTATCACATTTTTATATATAACTATAATATTAATGGAAAAAATACTTCCATGGTGTTTAAGTGTTTGGGTTTTTTATTTTACAGTTTAGGACTGGTCTTCCACTTAGCACTTATTTTAGTGCGGTAAAACTTCGATGGCTTTTGGATAATGTGGAAGAGATTAAGCGAGCAGTTGATGATGGAAGAGCTATGTTTGGGACTATTGATTCATGGCTTATATGGGTATGTATTTGTGAATTTATTATCACTCTTTTTTAAATGAATTTCCATATCATGAGAGTTCCTGTGCAAAGTACTGTGATACATGATGCCTACTGATCACACAGTGATGTCAATAAAAGCCACTAATGAAATTCCCTTAAAGTTCCTTACAAGATCTTATTTTAGATGCTTATGTGTAGTTTACCATTTATAGGTTGCTGCAAAATTTTGTTCATGCCTTTGGAAAAATCTTGGCCTTTAGAAAGGTGTATTAGCCACCTTTGCAATATAAGAATCCAGGAGGTACTGCTGTACCCTTATTACCTCTCTCATGCCTTTGTTCCACTATATCAGGTATACTTCTTTAGTTGTTTAAGAAATATCAGAGTTCTCAGTCCCAAGCTGAAAGCTTTGTGAATTTAGAACTTTTTTCTTTTTTTAATTTGTTGAAGTAAACCTTTATCTTTTCTTGGTGAATACTGTTAATATTTTTTTTTGTTCAGAGTTTGACAGGTGGAAAGAATGGAGGTGTTCATTGTACAGATGTAACCAATGCCAGCAGAACAATGTTGTTCAATATTCATTCCTTGGAATGGGATCCTGAGCTCTGCCAGTAAGCTCAGTTTTTGAGTAATACTGTTATTTAAATAGATTCTATAAGTGATGTGTGAAGAAACTAATTTAATAGTAAGAATCTCTTACCTAGACTAAGGTCAGCAATTACTGTTGTATTTACTGCGAACATTAGTAATTAAGATTCATTGTTCTCCAGATGTCCAAATTACAACTGTCTGGATTAATTAAAAGTAGCAGATATTTTTTTTTTCTGTAGGTGGAAGACTGGTTCATAGGAACAATGACATTTAATAGTTTCTTTATTCCTTAATCAAATTTGTAAAGCAGTTACAATCATAGTGTCTCTATTTGAATTTTAAATTTATAAACAACAATATCATAAAGATATTATTGGAAGAGAAATGACTTCCCACATGAAAGAGTTGGATATGTCTTAAAAATATTCAGATATGTACTGTTTTACTCCATAATTCAGTGTCACATATATAAATGGAAAATGCTTTCTGGTTTAGCACTGACCATATATATAAATCATTTTGCATTGTGTTCAGGTTCTTTGATATTCCTATGGAAATACTCCCAAAAGTACGAAGCTCCTCTGAGATTTATGGCCTGATGGTATGTTTTCTTGTGGGTGTGCGTGAAGTTAATCTTGTAAAAATATAACTATATCAAGATAGATTTGACAGAAGTTCCATAGATTAAGACTAAGGGCTTTTTCTAGACCAGTATTGTTTGATTTATGATTAGTATGTCATTATCTACTGTTGTATAAAATTATATGAATTTGAATATTTGTTGTCTTCTCTTTGAAGTGTCAAATAGACAAAACAAGATGGGACACTTTTTTTAATTAGGATAAAAAATTCATTTTTTATTACGTTACTTGTTGATTTAGAAACTACCCATCAGAATGCAATATATAATCAGTAGATTAAAAGAATGAGATTGCTGTTATTAGAGCAACGTTTTTTTACTTCTTGTACTATTGAAAAGAAGAAGTTGCTATGGAAGTCTTCGCGATCGAAGAAGACTGGACAAGACATGTAATGTCTTATTTCCACATAACTATAGGCAAGATCAGTCAGTTTCTGTGAACTGGAAAATCAGGAGTGGTACCTTAGATTGCCTTCTTTTTGAAAAACAAACTTCTCTTGCCCTGTATGTTTACATAACACTCAGTAAAGAAAATATTTTGGAATATTGTGACTTTTTAATCACACTGCTTCCAGTGTAGCTGTGAATATTACTTACAAGTAAATCGTTAATTGTTATCATGGAGCTGAGGTTTCAAGTTTACTTTGATGCAGCACCAACTTTTCTGATACAGTGGCATCTAATTTATTAGCTTCAGAATCAGATAAACTGGATGTTGTGATTTTGTGTTCTTTTCCTGGTAGTTTGCCCTATTGTTTGCTAAATACATACAGGCATTTTGTAATGAAGACAAGTTATGAGATTTTTACTTAAAATATCACTCTAAGTTGCCTGAAATGTAAGTATTTTTGCTAATCTGTTGAAGGAGATGCCAGTAGAAGTCATTGCTGACTTTTATTAATGTGAAGGTCGGGTGAGAGTGGGTTGTATTAAGCTGAATGACTGAGGTAAATGGAAAAAAGATACTACCTGGCAACTGAAACAGAATAGCTGGTCACTTTAAATGTGAACTTTTGTTTCTCTTCCCCTTTCCTTCCATTTTTTTTCTTTTTCTTCCTTTTGCTGACTGTAGAAAATCTGTCCTAGCCTGGTGAGTAGAGGCTTCCATTAGGCTGACCACCTATATCTTACCCATTCTGTTCAGATGCTGTGCATTTCCATCAGTTTAAGGATTAGTAAAACCACACTTTCTAGACAAAAAAATTTGGTCGGTATTTCCAAATTTGAGATATTACAATTAGAGTTCATTCAGTTTCTAAAATGTAATCTTGATGTATATGTTTGCCTTAATTTGCAGGCTGTTGAATATTCCTTTTTATAGTGAAGTAAAAAAATACAGCTGCTGGCTAATAAATGTTGACCGTCTCATTTTATAAATGAGAAAAGCAGGCCATTCTTTCTACAAATATTCATTCTATTATAGCGAAACATCAGATTCATGGAGGGTTTTTTAGTGCATTTATAAACTCAACTACCTTAAATCCAGTTAATTAAAATGAGAATTAAATAAAAAAAGAGTCATATTGGAAATGCACTTGCATGACTTCACTGAAAATGCATTTTCACAATTGCACAAAGAAACAATTTAAAGAAAGAAGTAAAAATTGTCGGGATATAAATTTCTTATGATACCTATTGCAAGAAGGCAATTGAAAAACTACATGTTAGTGTTTTGAAGAAATTCTATATTGGACTTAAAATGCTGTATCTTAAAATGAGGCATCTGTCTTTGCTGAGTGTGTCATCACAATCACATTTTTTTCGAGTCACTGCCATTTTGCACTCTTGCATTTTATACTTGACACTGACTGCACAGATTACACTGAACCTAGTTTTCTGTACACTATGATTTCAACAAAATTTAAATTAAGAGCTTTTAAGGTGACATAAAGTATATCTGTGAATTTCGCACTCTCTATTTTTTAGTGTTTTAGGTATGAGCTGCATTAAGCTGAAGTCTAATGTACACCTGAACTGAACCATGTTGCTACTTGACCCTTCTTTGTTTTCCTTTGAGCATGAAAATTTTAGCTTCTTTTTCATTGCTTTAAATTGTAGTCATTGAAAGCTAATTTGGAGCTTTTCTTTCTCTTTTTGCAAATCAGAAATCTGGAGCTTTGACAGGTGTACCAATTTCCGGGGTAAGTCAGTCCTGCTTCAACTCATATTCTTGCATGAGAACCTGATACTGCATGAACATATCTTCACTGGAAAAAGCTTTAAGATGTGTTAGTCCTGCTACAAATTAAGTTGATTTTTTTTTTACTTCATGTTAAATATGAAGTAAACTTTTGAAGTTGAATTATTAATTGACTGGATTCTTCATTATTAAGTTAAGATCTGGATGTGGAAATACAGCTTTAATGCATATGTGTAGTGCTGTTGGAAATTTAGGGTCTCTAAGTAAATGAGTATCATTAGAAAATGGAAGCAAGCTCTGGTTTATATATAAAAGGAGTTCAATATATACATAATCCAGAAATGTTGGGCAGATTCTCAGCTTTTTCCAATACAACATGCATAAAGACAGTAAATTTTAGTTTTGATTTCTTAAAATTGTTCACCATAAGTAGAATGACACATTTAATTTGCCGTTCTTACAAAGGGAAGAGTAGTAAAAAGCACATTTTGTCTATAGATTTTTCTCACTTTCAGTTATCTGTGTGCTCCTAATAGATTAGAGTTATAGTTAAATATATCTGTTCATGTTCCTTTTTCATGCATGTGATTCTCTTTTCAGTGCTTGGGTGACCAGTCTGCTGCTCTTGTTGGGCAAATGTGTTTTCAAGATGGGCAGGCAAAGAATACGTAAGTTATTATGAAAACAGTATGTCACTGTTCTGTTTTGAATTTAGTATTATGGTCTCTTTCAAGCTAACTGCCAAATGCTTTTGTAATTACCGCATAACTACAGCTCTACCTTTTGACTGTGTTGACCAAGTAAACAGTGTCCTGACTTTTATATAAAATAGTGGAGATATTAAAGTTAAATGGTTTGTGAGGTATATTTTGGAACAAAGTTAATGTGAGGAAATATCTCTGTGTGACTGGAGGTTTTTCATTTTAAAATTCGCCAAAACGCAGATTAAAACAGTTGTAGTATCATTTAAATTGTGACCTAAAGTTAAACAAATGCAAGCCATGTAAGTTAGATTGCATAGACCTGAATGGCAAAAAAACCCACAGGGTTGCTAGATGGGAAAGGTTTATTTCAGTTGCAGTGCTTAGTTTTGCTTCTGTGTCTAGCTCAGTGTGGAGAATTTTACATTTATTTTTCTCCTGCTCAGCCTCTTAGTATCCCTTGTGTAAATAGCTGATCAGTTAAATCAGGCAACTGGTGTAATCAAACATTCATTTGAGGAAAAGTGCTCTGCTTAAATGACTTACTGTTCCATTTACAACCGTGTGCTTAACTGAGCATGTAGGTCTATACACAGTATTGGACTTTCACAGATTTAATTACACATTAATCTATGCTTGTTGCTAATTAACCTTCACTTTATCTTTTATATTTATACACAAATTTAATGGTTAATGGCCTTGTATTTTAGTAAAATAAACATGGTTCTAAGTAATAGTGTCACAAAGTATTTTTATAAGAAATACTTTATAACACAAGAGACTTTTTGAAAAAAATCCAGATAAACCAAAAGTTAAAAGTGAGATTATTTTTTTAACCTGTTTCTGTTATTGGTTTACCCTTTTTCTCTCCAAATATAACTGAAGACTTTCTCAATACTATTTTAAGTTACTAATTTTCAGGGTATTAAAAAAGTAGAAAACTCATAATTTCTTAGAATGAATTAGAGTGAATTATAAGTATTTCGTAGTCCTTTTATTAAACTTGTCCTTATGTGTGTGTGTATGCACACGTACATGTGGTCTTCAAATGAGAAACATGCCATTTAGAAATTTTTTAACTGAATATGTTTAAAGAAAACCCTCTTTATGACAGGAACAAAGTTTCTTAAATTTTTCCCTTTAAAAGCTTGAGTTTAACATTGTGAAATATTTATTTTATAAAGGAGCTTTCATAATCAGCTTAAATTGAAGTAGGTAAACACTGCTGCCGAAAGAGGAATTCACACTTAGTTTTCAGCCACATCTGCTCCTTGATCAAGTATTACACAAGAAATAGCCAGAGAGAGAGGTGTAGGACTAGATTTTTCAGCTGCAAGCTGCATTTGATCAACTTTTTGAGGATGGTTTTATCATCAGTTAATGGTAACGTAACCTTCAAGGGGCAAAATGTGGTGTCTTGACACCCTGTCCCCAGGGGAGTCATGGATTCATGAATTGCAGTAACAGGTTATCCTTTAAACATCCTGGTTTTCACTTTCCTTTGCTTTCATGCTAGGTATGGAACAGGATGTTTCCTGCTGTGCAATACAGGTCAGAAGGTCAGTTGCATTTTTTAATTGTTTGTTTTTTGGTTTTTTTTTATCAATCTTTATTTAGGTTCTTGAGTACAGCTATGCGTTAGCCTTTCTTAAACTTATTAGCAACAGTTATATTGTTAGTGATAAGGAAAAGTGCATAGTGATATCCAAAAGAATAGAAGGTAATAATTTATTCAAGGTGTTCAGTAAGACTTCATTTCCTAGCTCCTTAAATTTCCCAAAAGAACTTTTCATATAAAGTTTCTTGCTCTTTACTTGTATATGTTTCTTAACCTCACCCGGAAGTGCTGAGTGTTGTGTTACTTAACCATATGCTTTTCTCCTTTTCTTGGCTATTTTAATCTGAGTGTTCTATCTTAGGTGTTTATTTAGAGTGACTGATAATTTACTTTGTTTAAGCTTTCCATAGTTCATTTTTTTTCCAGTGGTGGTTTTGCCTCTTGTTTAGTATCACTTGAATATTTTTATTTAAATATTTTCTGCCTCTTCATGCTTTACCTTTTCTTTCCCTTTTCCCCATTTAGTCTGTCTTTTCTGAGCATGGCCTTCTAACCACAATAGCTTACAAACTGGGCAGAGACAAACCTGTTTGTTATGCACTAGAGGTAAGTCCAATAATTTCTTGTTTCTTGTAGTGGTACGTGTTCTTGTTTACTTCTGTTTTCTAGTATCCTTGTGTTATCTTCAGTTGCATGGAAATCATAATAGCTTTGTGTTATAGCTTGTGTGCCTCAAGGCTTATATGTGGTTTTTGTTATGCCTATCTCCAATCTATATCATGTAATGTAATAAAAATATAAATGATGCAATGTAGAAATATTTTCAGGGCATGATGGCTAAAACATTTTTTCTATTACACAGTCTTTCAATTCCTTAGTAAATGTTATAAATAAATAAAAAATTAAAAATTTTTATACTAAAATCTGGTTTAAAAACGAGGGGGAAACTAGTGTTTCAGTTATAATAAAAGGCATGACTGAATGTCTTTATTTTTTGGTTCATTCTAATGGATTTTACTTCTAACTTTTAAAAATCTGAATAAAATTTCTGGGACAAGAATTCTCTAACAATTGAACTTTTTTTTACCTGCTAAGACTTAGGTGCCTACTTCCAGAATTTAGTTCCTCAGTTCTCCACACAACTCTGAGGGTGTCCAAATTCTGTAGAAAATTGGATTTTTTCTACAACTTCAGGGTTTATTTATTCTGAAACACAGATCAACTGAGCACCTATTTGGCACTAACGCTTCGTCAGGATCAATAGAATGATTATTCTTCCATCTCTGTTGCTTAGTGGGCTTGATTTAATAGTTATTCTCAAAACATGCATACTGAATTCTCTGCTGCCATTGAGCTTTCGTAGAAAGGCTATGTTTTTCATGTGAAACAAAGACAACACACAGGATTTTCTTTGCTGGGATGATAGTTTGTGGCTTACAGTACTTTACTAGGATGGGGGAGGCTGCGTTCATTTCCTTTTCCTTCCCTAAGGAAAATTGATCTTGCATTTGCCATATTCTGGTAGACTTTGGGGTTTTCATTTTGTGCAGTTGTGTGAGAGGTTTTAACACGTGTTCTTAAAGCAAGAACTGGAACTGTTTTGAGAGTGATTTGTATTTCTGTATGCTGAAACACATGCATGTGTACTTTGCTTCTTCCTCATCTCCAAGTCTTTAATGATATTCTCTGAAGAAACATCTTCAACAAAAGCTGTTCAGTGTTCTTTCTCCTGTATCCATGCCGGAATCCTCTACAATCTGCTGGTTGAGACGCTTTCCAGAGAGGCAGGAAATATGGATTCAACCTTTTCTTTTAATCTAACCCATATTTTGTAACTGTAATAGCTAGCTGGTTAGAAAACACCCCCGCTCCTTCTAGCAATGGCTTTGAATGAGAAAGTAGTGCTGCTCCCATTGTACTTCAAGCTAAGTCTGGTAGACTTGAGGCTGTCTTGTAGAGAAGTCCATTTGGACTTTGGAGTGAGATGGGAGCCATGCTATTCATCTATGATATGATGGAGCCATTCAGGGATGTTTCCTGAGGCAACAGAGGAATTTTGCTGGCAAATGCAAGTGCCTAAATTTTCTGTCTGTCTGGGCGTTTGTGTTTAGACTCTAGACATAATCAGTTTTGGGTTTTTTTAACTCAAAGTATAAAAATCTTAATTTGTCAGAAAAAGAAGGGTGGCTATTGGACCTCCTGACTAAATTAGAGACACAAGAAGACTGCTTAAGAAATGTCATGGTAACTCCCCTCCATGGAAAAATATATGCACTTTTTTCTAAGTAGAGCCTGCATAACAGGCAGCCATTTTTACATGGGAGTCTCCAAATGCCAAGAAACTTGTGGTTTGGTTGTGAGCATTCTTGGGAGTGCTTTAAACTGTGGCTGTAAGCCTGCAATTGGAGGCTGCACCTACCCCTCCTCTCCAGTGTTGTAAAAAGGAACAGGAAGCTACCAGTTGTTGTCTCCTAATGTTGTAGTGATTTTGTTTCTTTCAGGGATCTGTTGCAATAGCTGGTGCTGTTGTTCGTTGGCTGAGGGACAATCTAGGTATCGTTAAGACTTCACAGGAAATTGGTGAGTATTCACAATTTGCAGCTGTTCAGTTTTTTAAGTTTTCTTTTACAATGTCTTGATGTCTCTAATATTGAATGAAAGCTCAAAATATTCAAGTAAAGAAAAGGTGGAAGATGCATGTGTTTTTCTGTGTTTGAACAATTTGGTTTGCATCCATGAAATCACTGTTTATTGATATATGTATTTCATACAGCATATCAATATAGTCATTGAAACCCTTTGTCAGTTTTATTCTATTGCAATCCGTACTTTTTAGTAGTTTCCCTAGCAAGCAGGTATTCAGGAAGATGCTATACTTATAGTGTATTTCCTGGTTTCATACAATATTGAATTTTCCAGAGCCAAGAGTATTTAAGTCTCTATTACAGAAGCCAGAGCATATTTGAACCTAAACCTACTTATATTCATATATACGTGTATATATACATATATTCATTCCTTTTATAAATATGAGAACCTGAGGCCTTACATATGCAATGGTTTATGTACAAGACTTCATATCCATTGAGTTAAGGACCTCAGTTTACAAAGCCGCCTCTTAAAGGAATTGTGGAGGATGGTAATCTGTTTTAGGTAGGAGTACATTAATCCCTTAGCGTTTGGGTAGCTGTTGTCTTCTGCTTGAGCTGAACTGAAACAAGCTGCTGTGTGACATGGAAATTAGGAATATATCAAACTTTGAAAAAGGAGAAAATGTCAGAAGCATGCAAGTGTAACAGCTTGAAAGTGACTGATTTAATGAGACTTAGGATTAAAAAGCAGTTCATTACATATTTTTAATCATATGTTATCTTATTCAAAGGTGGAAAAATTTAGAAATAAAATTTTATGTAAAACTTCAAAGATTAGGCAAAAACTTAAAATGTCAGTCTGTTTTTCTGTGAAAAAGCTTTGCACAGCATACAGAAGAATATAAGCTACTGTCACATGAATTAGCCAGCTGTTGAAACACTACAGTACCTCTTGGCTTCACAAGTTTGACTAGACCTTTGGCAGGTTTGAGTTTCAAGAACTTTAATCTTGTCAGTGTTGTTAATGTCATATTGGACTTTGTCATCTCTTCCTGTTTCCCTGAACATGTCGTTCCTTCTCCCTTCACTCCGTTTTTACGTGGAGCCTGTATGAAAGTACCCTTTAAAAAGGACTTTTTGAATAAGTTTTCCTGTTTATTTTCTCTATTGCTATGCTTCTCTGATCAATGCAAACAGAAGAAATGTACAAAAGCAGAAAAAAATACTTGCTTGTTATAGGTGGAAGCTGCACATTAGCATTACTTTCTTTGCAGTTCTAGATGTTTTAATATAATTTTAAAAGTTACAGATATTTTAATATTTGGAAGTTCATATATCCAAAGTTATTACTCAGATATTAAGAAACTTCAGATTTCCTTGTAGCTGGCCTTGTGATTTTATACGTAAGCTGAGAATTTAGACCTCTAAATCCATTTGAAATTAATGGGAATTTAGTTCTGAACTCCCTTTGGTCTTGATCCAGTTTCACTTGCTTGCCTTGACTTAAATGCAAGTAAGTTGTGACCTTTTGGACTTCTTTGAAGGTTGCGTTCTTTACCCACATGATACCCTTTGAAAACCTCACAGAATCTAGGTCAGAATATTGAGTACACAATTTTGGGTTTCAGTTTTGATTTTTCATTTTACGTTTCCCACAACTCCCTATGCCCCATCTTCCATTCATATTGTTGCAAAGCGACAACTAGTTAATGAGGAGCAGAGTGCTAGTTAGTTGTATTTTCTAATTGTATGTGGCTTGATTATTTTTGTAGGTACCTAACATATTCTGTATATTTTCCCTATTTAAATAATAACACCTTTGAATGTCATATTTAAGTGTTGGTACAGTTGTGGAAAGATAAGTGAAGACTGTTTGTGTGTGTGCATTAGAAAAACTGGCCGCCGAAGCGGGGACATCTTACGGCTGCTACTTTGTGCCAGCGTTTTCAGGACTGTATGCACCATACTGGGAACCCAGTGCAAGGGGGTAAGGATATGACTAAGTACTGCATTTGCAGGGAGATTTAATGATTTTGCAAATATTATCACTAGTCCTTCCAGGTATGTGAAATTGTTCTTTTTGTTCCTTTGATGTGTCTGGATACATCATTCTCTGTGTTTCTCTTTTGTATTTAATCTGTTCAAAGCAGATTAAGATCCCTAACTGCTACTGGGAGAAAAAGAAAGATTACCTAGCTTAGCTACTCACCCTCCTCTCCTCCCTGCTCCAAAAAGAGTTGGGCAGGGGGCAGGGAAAACATTTGGGCTGGGTTGTGTGTTTCTGAGGACAAGTACCAGATAGTTCTACCATTCTTGCCACTAATGGGGCCAGCTTTTTTTCTTCGTGCATTTCTGGTTCTGAAAGGATTTTCACTTCACTAGGGAGAAAGAGGAGGTCTGCATATCCGTGAGCTGTCGGGCAACAAAAGTAGAAAGTGAAGAATTTAGTGCTGATTAGTTTTCTTGAGCTCAGTTTCCCATGGCTGCTGCATGCACTGTCTCAAATGATACAGGCTACTTGATTCCTCCCAGGTTCTCCCTTTCCTTACCCTTATGTCCAGCTTTTTTTCCAGTCTATTGAACACTCTTTTCTCCTCTCCTTCCAGTCCCTTTCCTGATTGTTAAGACTTAACTAGTTGGTATTAGTTAGAGCTACTAGTTCAAACAGTAACCTTCTGTTTCTCTTCTTTGCTATTGTGAGCTTGCCTACTGTTGCTGGAATCACAACATGCCATGGGAGTCACAGAACCATAACAAATTTAAATATAAAATAACTTTCCTAAAGTGAGAAAAGAAATCTTAAAGAATATCTAGTTCCCAAGGTTTCAAGTAGTTGCATCTTTAGAATTTAGATGCTTTTTGTAGGTAAGGAAGAAAAAAATCTTCGAGTTAGATGTTTTTACAGTTTTTCAGATCATAGCGCTTAACTTTTTAACTGTTAAAAGCTGATCTTTGGAACAGTAACAACTCAAAATGTCCTTTAATGTCTTTGAACTTGCATGTATCCAGCACCAAATATAGCATCATTTCTGTGTATTACACTACTATTCCTCAGATGTTGAAATAGAATAAAAGGATGAGTATTTGCTCTGCAGTTCAGAGTACTTCGACAGAATTCAGCTTACTGGTTGTTAGGTGTACCATAAGTTCCATACCCAAAAATCTCTTTGAAGGTACAAAAGCAACTAATGAACAGCATACATCTGAAAACAATTTTAAGCATTTAGAGCACAGCAGTGACCCAGCTGGGTTTTACCTTAACAACTGAAAGCACTAGAGAATTTATTAAGTTTTTAGTGGTAGGTGATATTATTTTTTAAAGAAAAATGAGCCTTGAACATACGTTTCCTCTTCTTAAAGAAAGACTAGAATTTGTGTGTGTGTTTGCATGTGTATGGGTGAATATGCATCCATTTGCATGCAGATTGGCAATAAAATTTTAATTTATGGCAATTATTGATTGGACACTGAAAGCATGTTTGTCAGGAAAACAGGGATAAGAAAATTTAGAATAAAGAGAAACACGCTTTTTAATATTAAGAAGCAGTCCTCATACAATGGAACTGAATGAACTTTGAATTAGAAGGCCTAGGTCTGAAGTAACAGTATATGTCTGGTAAAGACGTATGTCCTAACTGGGTTTTTTCTCTTCAACAGTATTATCTGTGGCCTTACTCAGTTTACAAATAAAAACCACATCGCCTTTGCTGCGTTAGAAGCGGTCTGCTTTCAAACACGAGAGGTAAAGACAAATTGGCTCCTAAATTCATTGTAAATTAGTATGATAACAGGGACTGCAGCTCTTCAGGAAGAGAGAGGATCGAAAAGATTTAATGAAGGTTAATCATATGCTTTATATTGTACTTGGATGATATTCTTCTCTTTATGTGGCGCCAATGTTGAAAAATTTTTCCTGTGTGCTTAGTTACAATGATGTGGTTGGATGGTACATTATTTTGGGATGGCAATGCTGCTTTTTATCAGCATGTAAAATAAGGTGAATGTATTTTGTGAATATTTTTAAGAGCCAGAACACAGAAACATGAAAATTACAAGGCCAGTGCCATAACTAAAAAGCTGCATTGGTGTAGGAGACTACATTTTATATTGTCTGTTGTGATGGAGGTGGCTTATGTTGCTTCCAGTACACAAGTACAAAAATGAGTTAAAGCAAGACAACTGCAACCATACCAAGTGAAATCTGGATTCACTTCCTGCCCATTACATCTTGTATTGCCTTAATTGGCATTCTGCAACAGCAAACCTAAATTCTCACAGAAGAAATGAATCCTCCAACCAAATCAAAGGTGTTGATAGCAGTATGTTCTGAGCATTAGAATCCTTATATCACCATCTACTATTAATTTACACTCTCTGTGTTCCATACAAATACAGGATAAAATGAAATCCCTAGACCCCAAAGGGTAACAGTCAAACTGAGTTTTAAAATAACACTCAGCTAAAACTGTGTGAGAGGAGGAAAGCAGCTTGCTGTTTCTGTGGTGATGTAGAATAGAGTGCGAAGTACTCATGTGGAAAAAGACAGCCAGAAATTTCACTCGGGCGCCTGCTTTTGAAACTGTGCTAACAGCCTCTGAGTCCTCAGAAAGTCGTGAAGGAGCTTGGAAGTAGCATATATCTCTAATTGTAGTGCTAGAAGTCAGGGTAAAGTTACAGGGAACTGAACTGATAGTCTAGTTCATTGTCTGCTCCTCTCTTTCCTTGTCCCTCCTCCCATCCATTCCCTCTCATGTGACAGCCCAATGAACTTTCCAGCAGAAAATTATCCCTCTTTTTGCTGGGCTATTTTTCTGCTGGATTAATGACCTCAGCTGCCTCACAGAGGGGTGTAGCAAATGTCAGAACAAGAGACACGGCATGTGGCTGGGAATAGGAGGGAAAGGAATAAAGCTCTCAGACTGAGTGAGGGTGAAGTTAACCATTTGAACAGATCTAATACTTCCTCATACCTTAGTCAATGTGCTTTTATCACAATGACAGGAGTGCGTGATTAGGTCTATGGACATGCTTAAATTAACAGATTAAGTCCTAGTGACACACATAAAATATATGTATATTTTTCAAAGATACATTCTTAGTTCTGTCTTGTCAGAAACAAAATTCTTTTGTTTTCATTCCAGTTAAAATGGAAGTCTTTTGTATCCTTCAGGAAAACCCTCAAATTTTACGTTCATTGGAGTTTTTTCTTGTTTTGTTGTGCCATCCAATCCTTCTAAGTCACTGTTCCTGGTTACCCAAAAAGCTCCTTCCTTGTCCAGACAAATGACACTTGTTATGTTTTTTCTTCCAGAAGGCATTATGGAAAAAATAAGTATTTTTTTCAGTTCTAACAGCTGTACGATACTGTCGTTAGACAAAACTTACGTACTTGAATACCTTGCTCTTCATCCAACCTCAGTACAATAGAGATAGCAGCAGCATGATCATAATTTGGCTTGTTCCTTCATCCCTTCCTGATCTCTAGCATTCTTTTCATTTTTTTAATCTCTACTGAGTGCATAGTATGATCCAACATGCTCTTGCACAGTAGTAAACAAAGTCAGAGTCCCCAAGAGTATGTGTATGTAAACTTGAGATTATAAGGCACTACTGAAGTTCTGGAAAGTAAAAAAGGCAGGTGAAATCAGCATAGACAAATGTAAAATTATGCACGTGAAGGAAACAAATGGTGGGGAGCAGTACTAGCTTAGTGCTGCCAGCAAACTTTGCTGCTGTGCTATAAATCCTCTTTTCCAAGTTATTTCTAATGTATTGAACAGTCCAGGCCCATGGACAGATGCTGCCACTGTGAAAACTGGCTTTTTACTTACCTTCTAGTTTTTAACCACTATTTATCCTGTGGCAGTTATTTTAGTTCCTTTAAAGATTTTCTGGTAAGGGACCTTGCTGACTTACTTTCTGGGAATGGGTAGAATCTACTGGACAGCTCATCCCTATGTAGTTTTTACTACCTTACAAACCTACATTTTTTTTTGTTCTTTTTTTAAAAAACATGTCAACTTTTCCCAGTAATGATTGTATAACTGGGTACTTTGTGAACTACAGAACAGAGCAGAATGTGTTGTACTTTTGGTCTTTTTTTGTAGTCTATGTTGCTTTGTCATTTAAAGCTGAGAAAAAGCACACCTCTTTTTTATTCAAATAAATTGAAAAATTAAAAAGAAAAAATAATTCCGTACTAGCTAATTCTTAACTTTGTCAACAAAAATTATGCACTAACCTTAAAAAATGTAAATGAGACATTTAATTGACTGCTTCTACAAAACGCTAGAAAACCCACTATTCCGCATTTAATAGGTGCTTGTAGTATAATGCCGTGGTGTTACCAGTAGATTAGGTTTGAGGCAGATCTTATATTTTTAGGAAACCCTCTAAAAAGCATATTGATTGATATCAGTGAATTAAATTTCCCACTCTTAGTTAATTATCCTTTGCAAATACTTTAACACTTTTCATTTATTTTCAGCTATCCGCTGTCCCCAAAAGGAGGAAACATAATTTTACAAAAAATTACACTAACAGTTTATTTTTGCAGTCTATCTTGTGTAATCTAAAAATCTCAGTTTTCAACAACTAAGTGAAAATATTTTAAGAGGCTGCTTTTTCAAAGCAGTTCAACGTTCAGCAGTTCCTATTGAAGTGTTGTCCTGGTTTGAGATTGCTTTCCAGATTGCCAGTTCAAATGTTTTAGTTTTTCAGTTCTTTAACGTGTCAGCTTAGAGAAGGTATCTAGGCAAACTGTAATCCGCTAAAGGACTCTATTTAGTATTACTTCTTCCTTTGTTAACTTTGATAAATGTTGTATTGTCATCAGCTTTTCTTCAAAATTCTTCTCAGACCATATAAGCAACACATAGGCTAGATATAAAGCATCAGAGGAGAAACATTTCTTACCCTAGTATTTCTGTAATAAATAGAATGCATTTGCTGTGTATTAAAAAAACTTTACTGTCACTATATCTGTGTTGCCCTCTTGATATATGGGGTGGGAGCTGGAATTTTCTACTTAATGGTCTTCAACAAATGCTGAATTATCAGTATTTTACACTTAGATGGTATCATGGATTTCTCTGCAATTAAATCATAACGTATATTACTCTTACTTAAGATTTTAGATGCCATAAACAAGGACTGTGGGATACCACTAAATCAGTTACAAGTAGATGGAGGAATGACCAATAACAAAGTCCTCATGCAACTCCAATCAGACATTCTTTGTATTCCAGTAGGTAAGATGGAATTACAACTCCTATTTTCTTTTTAAAGCTGAAAACAACATTGGTTTGTAATGGCTAATGAGGATAAATTGGATTGCTTGCTTTGTTGTTTTTGCTGGTCTTTTGCTACTACTTGAGAATGTTGGGGTTTTGTTCAGAAAAAGTTTTTTAATCTTGCATCCAATTTTGAGATTCACTTTCAGAGAGAATCACTGACTTATGGCTTGTGTTGAAATATTACAGCACTATGATGGATCAAATTTTAAAGTTGTCCTATCAATTTCTAAACATCTAACAATTTTAAAATCTCTCCTGTGACATGTTGGCCCTGAGAATCTTCCTGAGAGATAAATCAGAATTTTGCACCTCCACTGCTCGTGTTTTGCTCTTGCATTTCAGCAAATAGCAAATACCCTTTTTTTCTGTTCCCTTTATCTGCACAAACCTTTGACTTCATTTACAATGTAAAAGAAGACCCACGGAACAAATTGTCCATTCTGTTTCCTCCCACAGCAGCAATGAAGAAGGGAACAGAAGTTACAACAAAAGTGGGAATCTTGCAACCAGTTTTCTTGGCATGCATAATATGAAAAACAAACCCAAATGAGGTTGTTCCTCTCTGAGGCAAATCAAAGTTTACAATATCATTATTCTGATCCAACAGCAATGCAGCAATTTTAGAAATGATCATGTGACGCTTCTTTCACAGAAGCCCTCTAGAATAATAAAAAGGTGTTTTAGCTTTTGAAGGATGTGTTTAAATATACTAAAGATCTTTAAAGACCTCACTTGAAAACTGGAGCATTTCAGTGTCAGTGAAAAGGGTGCATCCTTCTGAAGACATTTTAACACCTGTAGCAGATCCAAGTTGCTGAGCATTGTAAGCTATACATTAGCATTCCTAAGAATGCAGTATGTCACTGAGTAACAAATAATCTTGCCTAATGTGCAGCTTCTAGAAAATCATTTAGAAAAACATCATGTTGTCTCTTAGGCATAAGTGTGAGACACTTCAGTGGAAAGTTTTTAACTCTAGAGATATTATAGTTTGCCTTTAATAACACATAATACACAAGGTTCATACTGTTAGTGCAGATGCGTAATTAGCCGATGAAAGGACATGGTAAATAAAATAAAATTTTAAAAGATCCCCTGCCTGAAGCAGAGAAGTAGGCAGTTCTAGAATTAATGGAACAGATTTACCATTGACATCTTGGGGGTGGGATGGTCTTCTATAGGGTCTGTGGAAGGCAAACAAGCTAGTAAGTACAGTGTGTGGCTTCTTTTAAGATATCTTTTCTAAATATAAACGCTTTTAATAACACAATATCTAGAGCATGGGAACAAGACTCATAACTTAGCCAGTGATCACTGCTTTGACAAAGGAGAGAGAAGAAAAAAAAATTGTCAAAATAAAAAAAAAGGGGACTACTCTAAGGAAACCGATGGTTGCGGTCAGCAGCCCCGCACAAGGTATGAAAATGGGCAATTGCATGATTTCTTCTTGAAGGAAGTAGTGATCTGAGATATTTCAAAGACTTGGACAACTCAGAGGTGAAGTTAGTCTTATAACCATGTGAATGGTAATAAAATGAGGTTTGCCGTTGGTAAACCTAACGGAAGCAGATAGCAGTTGTAGAAAATATATATCATTCTATATATATACGTAAATCTTTAGTTCTAATGTCATCAAGATTACTTTCATTAAAAACCATCATGGCCTTCTCTGTGATTTACTTCAGTAAAGCCATCAATGCCTGAAACAACAGCTCTAGGAGCTGCTATGGCAGCAGGAGCTGCAGAAGGAGTTGGAATTTGGAGTCTGAATCCTGGAGACTTGACAGCAGTGACATGTGAACGATTTGAACCACAGATCAACCCAGAGGGTAAAACCCTTTCATATTATCTAAGAAGTTGCAAACTTAATATTTTATGTCCAACAGATCAGGTTTTTTTCTTTCTTGCAGTCTTAACATACTGATATAAAACCAGCTATATATAAATATCCCCACAAATGTTGAAGATCGGTTTTGTAGTGTTTGGTTTAGAGAAAAGTGCATTTCACCTGCTGTTTCGTCCATTTATTGACTAATAAGATTGGAAAATGGTTAAAACACAGGTGTATGGGTTGGGTTTTTTTCCTTCTTCTTTTTGAAAGAAGCTTGGCACTGGGCATTGCAGTTAGTAGCTTTTGATTTATAGCAAGTAAAATCAAAGAAATCTTGAAAAGTTTTTACTGAGAAAGATGTCTCCTAAAGCTGCTGTGCATTTGTGGGTTTTCACAAATGTAGAAAGGACAGTGACTGGTTTTGGGAGACTTCTTTTGGCTTTAAAAAGCCTACATTAATAATTGTTTTCTAGCTAACTATTTTTTCATCAGTTCTTATGTGCTTCTAGAGATGGAAAGCATGTAATTGACATAATTAATCCATGTGCAAGACAAATGCATTTTTGTCATTTCAATTATTCTTAATTTTTGGTACAAAATTCTGTCTTACCATTTTTATTAAAATTAACTGCTATAATCCCTACTTTAAGACAATATTTTCAACACTGAAGGGCTTCTATGTGAATAATAATTGCTTCATTTTGTCCAGTTTGTAAATCTTGTTGGTGAACATGCAGAAAATTGTTTTTAAGCTTTATTTCTCCTTAGTGATTAGCTTTTCTGTTTGCTGATTTCTCAATTTCAGAAAGTGAATTTCGCTATGCTAGATGGAAGAAAGCTGTAATGAAATCTATGGGCTGGGAGACATCTGAAGCTCCTTCAAATGGTAAACCAGAAATTAATGGAAGTCAAGTATTATTAATTAGCCAGTTAGCCTAGGTAGTTAGCTAAGCTTGAGTTTGGTGACCTTTTCTGTTCATACCAACTCTGGACTATTCCAATGATTTAAAATGACTACTTAAAACCACTGTGGAAACAAAGCAGGAAAACAGATAGATAGGTCTTCCCCTTGAAAAGAGGGCACCAGCAATATCTCGTAGGGCTCTAAAAACCGAGGACATGAAATCAAAACTAACTGCAGGTTTTGCAGAATAGGATTGGTTTACAAAAGAAAAAAGTATTACCTAGAAGAAGAGATACAGCGCAATTCTAAGACAGTGCAGGGATTTCGTAAACTTCCTTATACTATAACCTCATGTTGCAAAGGAGAAAAGTTTCATCCTGTGATTTTTCTTGCCGTATCTTGCCTTGATTATTTGCTGTATAGGAAGGAGAGATTGATAGCCACATCAAAATCTGTTTGACCCACAAGGGCTAAGAGCAAGAGGTTATCATAGAGGAGTGAAGAATTGCATGGACCTATTGTTCACATGCAGAGAATATACAAACACTTTTGAGGGACTGAACAAGATCTTTCTTTTGAAGTAGAGGGCTTTTTCATCTGTCAGGTTTGAATTAAATAAAACCTGCAGTCTTCTATGATCTATAATTTGAATTTATATTTCAGCACTATTTCAGGATAAGTTTTTAGTCCTGAATCATCCTACAATACATCATTTATGGGCTTTATCTTCATTTCATTTCTTGTTTGTTGGAAAAACTATTAGAATGAAAAGTATTAAGTAAAGAATCCTCAAAATGTAAACTCCCCCCACAATCCACAGTTGCAGCCCTCAAGCTCCATGAAGTGTCTTACTTTATTCTTGAAAGCTAAAGCTCAGATTTTCCTTTAACCATACTATATGTTGGTTTACATAATTTATTTAACACCATGGTTATACAAACAATTCTGTCAAGGCTATTTGGAAGGGAAATGGGTAACTTAGCGTGAGTAACAAGATTCATTTCAGTATTGTCCATTATGACTTAGTAGCCTTACATCTAAACTCTCTGTTATGTTTCCTAAAATCTCAAGTGCTTGATGCATATCTTACTTATATATCTTTATTTCCTTTTGAAGGATACAAAATTCTGCCTTGCAGAAAATAAAACTAGATCTTGTTCTTCAGCTCATGTGAAAAGGCGTATGTTTATCAAAACTTACCCTCAGTGATTATCTGGTTTAACACTGTGGGGCAAATGTTATTTTCCTTAGTTCTTACTTTGAAACTTTGTCTTCTGCCTGCTCGAAGTATTTAAGATTGAAGAATACTAGAAATGGGCTCAACCTAGACAGTGCTAACAGTGGAATTTGGATTTGAACTCTTATATTCAGAGCCTGTTTTGAATTATTGTGGGGGTTATGCATAATCTTTTTTAGTTTTTCTGCAAATGTCACTACATTTGTTACTTTTTGCTGTTCATATGATTTTTAACACATATATTGCAATTTATATATATATTTCTCTTTTGATTTGCTTGACTGGAAACACCCTCCCCTGGATGACATCAGGTGACACTAGTATCTTCTCTAGTCTGCCTTTGGGTTTTTTTATTATGAGTAGCATGATAATGTTAATCGGAGCAAAGTACGTCTCAGGTTAGTTATTATTTGAACTAGATCACTTTAAAAGCTGTCTACACTAGTTTAAGTGTTGGGTTTTTTTTGTATTCCATCTGTTTATTTTTAGCAAAATGACTGATGCTTTTTGTTGTTCATGCACACGAGTGTTTCAGGGTGTGAATTAGACAAATGGTACCTACGGGAACAAAGTGAATGCCATCTTGAATTCATCCTCATGTGCCATGAAATTCATAGTTGTTAGATGCACATGAAACCTTGGAAGTCTCCCCTCCCTTTGTCTAGCTATACAGACTGTACACAGTTTATAAGAGGGATCTGGGTTGGAGCAGCCTAGCAGAGTTTTGCATTGCTTGCTAATATTACAGTGTGTATTGCAGTTAGAATAAGGTTCCATCCTTTATCCTCTATTTCTTCTCATAATGTTTAAAATTATTTTGAGGAGCTTGTTTAAATAAAGTGAAGACTTTTCTTCTGTCCCTGAAAGACTTCATGCACTCCTTTCATTTTTCTGGTCCCCTTAGAACTATTATATGGTTACAAATCTTCATCTACTAAATCGATAGAATATTCTATTGCTCTTGATGGATAAGTGAATTAATTTTGCATAAAGAGAGGAGACCCTAAAAGGCCTATCTGCAAAACTGGGGAAAGGGACTGTGTGCATATGCAATGAAGCTGCATCTTCAACCTATTAATATATGTTTTATTTTAAAAGAAAGTTCTTAATATGGATGATGGTGTTAGTTACTTATGCCAGAAGTAAGACATTTCAATAAGATATTCTTATGGTAAGAAAAAGTTTATATGGTTATGTCATTTGTTCTTGTAGTTGTGTTTCATAATTTCATTCCAAAGAAAATATTTTACAGTATAGCCTTTGTTGCTGCTTAGTAAGCTTTTTGGGGGTGGCTGTTCAGTTTTCTTTCTTTGTTTTGGTTTTGGCGGGATGGGCGGGGGCTATTAATTAAACAGACAATTGAGGACTCTAGCATGCTCCTGTGATGATGTGTTTGTATTTTGTTTCTACTCATTCAGCCTGAATTAACTATTCAATTGTCATTTTCCTTGCATGGAAGAGACTGACTGAGCTTGTAGGAGAACTAAAATCAAACTAAACAAATGCTAGGCAAAAATCAAACTGAACAAATGGATTGACATTGATTTACTAACTCTGGGATGTATCTGTGAATGAGAACAATCTTGATTATGAAGAATAAAATAAAACCAGCTGCGAATAAGTGGGTAAATTTTTAACAAGCTGAAATACGCAACTTGAGTATTAATTCCAGGTGATATTCTTCGCCACATGGATGATACCTGAAATAATATGAAGATCAATGTTAAGTGGGTAGATAAGCAACTTAAATTCTGGGTTTATAGCTTTTTAAAAACAACTAATCAGTAACCTGCATATAAATATCTAAACTTGCGCTGCTGGAACTCATTAAAAAAAATTGTTTTTTCTCCCTTCCCTAAGCTTGTCAGTGCCTTTCTGACCCGCAAGTTGAAAACACATTCATGTCAACTCACTTTGGCCTTCAGAACCCATTTTTGCCCTTGTTTTCAGATAACAGGAACTATTGGTATAGTTACTGTTACTATATATGTATGGTTCCTATATATACCAATATAGTTACTATATATACTAATATGTTGGTGTATTATTTACATGGTAAGCTTGGGGACAGGAGAAGTTGCAAGAAATTTCCAGCTCTTACTTGTTTTAAAAATTATAATATCTAAAAAGGAATAGCATCAATGATGGTTGTACAGGTTGTAGTTTTGCTCAGCTGTGTGTTAGGGTAGAACATGCTATACAGAATTTGTGTTGCTGATTGGAGCAGGGCTGCTTCCCCCTTGGATATTTACTGTGGTAAATATCCTTTTGCCTTTAAAAGCTGGAACTAGCTGACCAGACTATCCTTCTAATTCAGTACAGGAACTCCATTAATTAATTTGTTACATTTTACCTTTTAATGAAACACTGGAACGCCAACGCAGTCATCAGTGTAGTAGGTTTGAGGAGTGAATCTACTGAGGATTGAATTCATCCTTCATGTGCTGAAACAGCAGTAAGTCTTGCATGGCAACAGTGCTGTTGTTGAATGTGTCTCTGTAGGGCAGGGCCATGATTTTTCAGCTACTGAAATGCGAAGGAAAAATCTGCTGTGGCAGAATAGAGAACACTAACGTGGCAAAAAAACATTTACAGAACTGCTAAACTAACTGCCTTTTCATGCAGCACCTGATGACTGAATATGAAAAACAATACTGTATTTCATGATATCATTTCATTATTTCATCAAAATCAGGTCAATTACTTGTACCTTATTTTATGATCTTCATTCTTCTTCTCTTCCAGGGGAGAAAAGGACAATATTTTGGTTTATTGCATTATTAAAGGAAGTTTTGTGTAGCTACTGGAGTCCTTATGCTTAGATTCTGTAAAGTTTTCCACACTAGTTTTGGAAGTAGACATCTGAGAGATTTCAGTGTATTCTGTAGCTGTACTTTTCTGAGTACATTTAAGGAAATGCTTTTGCATGCTTAAATTGGCACCTCTCAAGTGAGGTACAAGTGGGGATTTGCTATACATGGGATCTCATGTGACATCTGGGGTTCTTTGACTTTATTCTCACAGATTAAAGTGTCAGTGCTGATAGTAATACTATATTCTTCCTGCTTAAATATTCGGGGGGGGGGGGAGGGGTTAAGAGTCTATTTTTCCTTTTAGTTTCTTGTGTTGTGATAGTTACTGCCAAATTGCATACTAATTTACATTTATAGGGATCACTATGCAGTTCTGCAAGTTAGTTGCAATAATATTTCCCAAATTTCTGAAAGCTGAGCTCATATTCAGAAAAAGATAAGCTTAGAGTACCTTCCTTCAATTCTTCTACTTGTTAAAAATTTACCCATCTTAATAGCATGGTCTCTTCTCTCCTATTATATGCACATCCCACACACTCAAGTGCTGGCTTATCTGGTGTCACAAGGTACAAATAATTTTTAACTCCATTAATTAAAAACAAAAGATGGTTTTACTGAATTCCTCTTATAGCTCAGCTGTGTAATAGAGTGTTGTTAATGTTTTACAGTAAATTCTATGTTACTAATGCACGTTTTTTCTTATTTAAGGTGGTGGTAAATGATACTACTTAGTGGACTCTCTGGATGCAGCTGATTTTTTTGTTTCATTTTGTTTTGTTGTCTGAAGAGATTCCACCACCAATGTGATTATACTCCCCGTGTGACTAAATTCATTCTTGAACCCATCTGTTGCCGGTCCCCGAGTCTTCAGCCCTTCATTACTCTGCTCCCTCCCCCATCTCTCCAACTGCACTGGAAGCCCTTGCGTGGACCATCTCACATCATCCTCTTGAATTTCACAAGCCCTAGCTTTGTTTGACAAAGTTGGTGTAATAAAACCCTGCAATTTCTGAGGCAACGTCAGATGTTTAGCTACCCTTTTCAGGGTTTTGGTACTTTATACAACACACTGCAGAAACTTAATGATGCACTATAGAACTTTGTAAACATCTTACAATTCTTCCAGCTGCTGTGAATTACCTTTCATATGTCTATGGTTGCCAAAGATGTTTTACTGTAGTGGCCACTGGTCTGAAACACCTTCAATGGTACAAACCTT